GAATGGGAAATGGAAAAACAGTATACCTCTTCTTTTTAAGGGCATGTCACAGAATTTGCAGCCATCATTTCCACTTATAGCCCATGGGCCAAAATGTAGTCACATGGCCAGACCTCCAAGGGAAGCTAGGAAATATAGTCCTTGCCTGTGTAGCAATGTACCAAGCCAAAACTTGGGGGTTCTAATACTAAAGGATGAGGGAGAAGAAGGGACACTGAGAGACAATAGCAGTCTCTGCCATAATAGACTAGATTATCTATTCCTGCATTACAAATCAACCACAAAATTTAATGGCTTAAGACAATAATGATTTATTATTTCTCACCATGCTGTGTTTTGGCTAGAAAGTTTTTCTGTTGGTTTTCTCTGGGCTCATTCACATGGCTCCCTTCACATGGTCTTTCATCCCAGACTTATTCACAGCATAGTGGCCCAGGGCAGTGTTCCAAAAGGTGAAAAAGGAACTGTAACGCCTTTCTAAACCTCATCCAAAGAAGTTGCACAGAGTCACAGCTTCTGCATTCTGTGGTCAAAACAAGTCCCAAGGCTAGCCTAGATTCAAGAAATGGGGAAATAAACTACCTTTTGTTAGTTAAGGTGGCAAAGGCACATTGCAAAAAGGCATAAACAAAGGAGGCATGATTCATTGGGAGCAAATATTGTAACAGTCTAACATGACATTTTTACACTTATATGTGTATGTAAATTTTTGTCTGCATATTCAAAGAAATGTAAATAAGTACTGTTATAATGAGTTAAATTCATGGTGAGCAGATACAAATATGACCACATCACTCTCTTGCTTATTATTGCCTTACAGATTAAAGCCCAAGCCCCTTAGCCTGTACCACTTCTACTGTATTATACTGTCTCTCAGGAAATGTAATGAAAACCAAGCAGAAAGATAAGTCCTTTCTAGCTGAAGTTGTTGGGCTTCAAGTAAGTTGTGGAATCTGAACTGGGCGTTGAAGGAAGAAGTGTTTGAATTGATGGAGAAGGGCAAGTAGGCATAACCAGTAGTTCCTAATCTTATTAGGACCACCCTTTTAAAAAACTGAAATACAGCATACTGCAGAAATAAATGAAGTATCTATCATAAAGTAAAAATATTCCTCTATCCATCACCCAGGAAATAGAATATCACCAGTTACATGGAAACCTCTTATGTGACCTCCCAGTAACAATCCTGCCCGTCCTCCCCAAATGTAACCACTCATTCTAATTTCTAACCATAGATTAGTTTTGCCTGGTTTTGAATCATACATGAGAGATTAAATATGCATTTCACCATTATATTTGTAAGATTCATCTGTTGTTTGTAGAAGTAGTTTGTTCATATTCATTGCTATATTCCATTATGTGGATAAAATAAATATATCCATTCTGTTGTAGCTATTTGGGTTTTTTCTACTTTGGGGCTACTAACAAATAATGGTACCACAAGCATTCTTTCATATGTCACTTGGTGTACGTGGGCAGACATTTCTATTGAGAGAGTACATAGGGTTAAAATTCCTTGGTCATTGAGGTAGATTCAAACTGTAAAGAATGACAGTTTTCCAAAGTTTATGTTTTTTATATCCTCCCCAGCAGTATATGAAAGTTTCATGTTCTCCACACCCTAGGCAACACTTAGTATTGTCAGTTTTGTTTTTTTTTTTTTAAGCCATTCTGATAGGTGTGTAGTGGTATCTCATTTGGCATTAATTTGCATTTACCTGATGTCTATTGAGCTTGAACACCATCTTACATTATTTGCCATTTGGGGATCCTCTTTTTTTTAAGTGCTTGTTCAAGTCACTTATCCATATTTCTGTTGGGTTGTCATTCTTTTCCTTATTGAACTTTAGGACTTCTTTATGTACTCTGGATATGAGTTCTTGGTCAAATATATGTGCACCAAATATCCTTCCCCATAACATGGTTTGTCTTTTCATTTCCTTAATAGCATCCTTTGGAAAAAAGTTCTTAAGTTTAATATATTTTACCAATCTTTTCCTTTCTTATTTTGAGTGTGCTTTCTATTTCTTTTTATAACCCTAATTGATAGATTAATTGGTACCAGGAGTTATCACAGGAAATGGATCCTCACAATGGGCTTCTGGGATTGGCTTATATGCACACATACACACACATGTAAAATCAATCACAAGGATAACCTCATTGCTATAGGTACAAGGACCACAGGTTATAATCCATGGCTTACAGTACTGTTGTGATGACCATTAATAGCATGGGATGGAGTGAAGATGGAGGGGAGGGGAGAGAAAGTATCACCATGGTAATCATAGTAATTATAAAGATTCTGAACCCACCAGGCTTCTCTTATGGTCCTAAACACATTGTACATAGGAAAAAGAAAAATATGAAAACTATTAATATATAGTTAAGAATGCTTGTAGGGGATCAGAACTCCTCCACTGTAGCTTTGAAGGAGTCCTTCATCTTCTGTAATCAGTGGGCAGATAAGGTAGATTCGTAGTACTAATTAAATGCTCAGTTCTTCCAGTTTTCTTACACTAAGGTTAGCATTGATGGGAAAGGAGTGGGCCCTGAGACACAGAATGGGGATAGTTGGGCAGACAAGAAAGAAGCTGAGAACTCTGAACCTTCATATTCCCCTGAACTTCCTTTGCTCTCAGAGGAAACCAGCCTCCTCTGCATAGAGGCTTTCAGTGACTACATTTGGGGCAGCTCTCTTATAAGTTGATTCCTATTGTCCTCAGAATTTACCCTCACCACCTCCCAGTTCCATCCCAACATAGCCTCCCCATCAGGGAAGTATGCATCCTGCTCTGGCAAGAGACTACCTACAGAGGAGTTTAAGACCTTGTCGTTTTGACCAGCAGGAACCTGGGGAGTATATATAGAAGTGGGTTCTAAGGGTGTTACACCGAGGGAAAGTAGACATAAGGTTTAATCAAGGCAAACTTACCTGAGAATTAAGATTTAATATGTTGGCATTAATAGTTGGCTAGGATGAGCCTTGGACTCAGTAACTGCCTACAAATAATAAATGGCTCCCAAAATAAAAAATAAAAATAAACGGCCTACAAATAAAATTTGAAATAATAATTTCAGAATATCAGAAATCCCCTGGCATACCATAGAGGAAGGAGTACAGTGGCTCCTTAGCCATCCTCAACTTTCACCAAGTCATTAAAAAATGCATTGGTGGGGCTTCCCTGGTGGCACAGTGGCTGAGAGTCCGCCAGCCGATGCAGGGGACGCGGGTTCGTGCCCTGGTCTGGGAAGGTCCCAGATGCCGCGGAGCGGCTGGGCCCGTGAGCCATGGCCGCTGAGCCTGCGCGTCCGGAGCCTGTGCTCCGCAACGGGAGAGCCCAAGACAGTGAGAGGCCCGCGTACGGAAAAAAAAAAAGCATTGGTGATGGGAGCACCAGCATTCCCAAAGAGCTCTGAAGTGGTTCTCCTTTGTTTGCAAAAATGATGGTGATGAAAGCTGTGGTAGAATTGAGTTTCCTGATCTCAGTGGGAATAAAGAAGTCTAAAGTGGTAGAGATCATATGATAGCGTACAACCGTCAGAGACAAGGTGGGCACAATTACCATAATAAGCCAAAAACGAAAATGTGAACAAGAGTGTTTTGACCCACAGGGAAAAGTAGTAATGGATACTAAATGATCTTGAGGTCCCTGGAAATAAAATAGATTAACCTATTAAGGTGCTGCTTGACATATTTAGGTGGAAAAATTCTGAGATGTAGACTAACTTGTGTTATTACAGTTAAATTGGTACTTCCTGATGATCGGGAGAGATTTGGTCCTTTAGCGGAGGAACCTGCAATGCAGCCACAGTGGTATAACCATGAATCTTCCCCTAACCCACTGGTTTCCAAACTTGTCTGCACATAAGAAGACCTTAGAATTCTAAAGCCAAGGGCACACCCCAAGCCAATTAACTCATATAAGTTCTGTGGGTGAGACCCAGGCACTTGTATTTTTAAAGCTCCCCAGGTAATTCCAGTGAGCAAGTTAGGGAATCACTGCCCTAATCCTTTTCTGGTGGCTATTTATTGGTTAAATAGGGGGCCTAAGAAAGTCAAGTGACAGATGGAGTCCTGGCCAGAGTCTAGCTAACAGTGAGCCCAGAGAGACCCACACTGGTTATTTCTCCAGCCCCAGATGTGTAGTAAGAATAAATATATTTTAATAATTGAAGCAATCTTCATTTTGGTTTTCTGACCAATAGATTGAGCATTATGGTAGGAAGGACTACATAGAAGTTCAGAATTGCTTGTTACCACTCCCTCCCAAGACAGTAAAAGAAAAGCAGTACAGAAGTTAGTGCCCCCATGCGGGCATGGTGATTCGTACCAGATTCCCATTTAAATTCCCTGTGTGGTAACCAGATGCGTAGTGAGAAATGACAGTGGATTGTTGCAAAGCTTAATCAGGTGGGGTGCCAACTGCAGCTATCCAGGTGTGGTACCTGCACTGGAGGAAGTTAGTACAGACTGCGACCTGGTACACAGGTACGGATCTGGAAACGCGCTCTGCCCCACCCCCACCCGATTCCAGTCAGGAAAGAAAGCCAAAAGCAGATTGCGTTTAACTGGCAGGGACAACAGTACACCCTGTCTTGTCTCAGGGCTGTGTCAGCTTTCCTGTTGTCTCTATGGTATGGAGGGACCTTGACCATATCATTGTACCATAGACTATCACACTGGTCTATTACAGCAATGAAATTATGTTAAATGAACCTAGTGAGCAGGCAGTAGCAAGCATTCTGCATGATTTGATAAGACATATGCCTGCCAGAAGATGCAAGATAAACCCTGCAAAACTTCCAGGACCTGCACCGAGTTTCTAGGGGTGCAGTGGCCTAAGACATGTTAGGATATCCATTCAAATAAATGACAGGTAGTTGTGTTTTCTACCATTATAACAAAGAAGAAGGAAAAAATGTGTAGCAGGCCTTTCGGGGTTCTGGAGGCAACAAAATAAAGTATATTAGGGTGACCTGCTCTTATCTGTTTTCAGATAACTATAAGACTACATGTTTTGAGTGGGGCCCAGAGCAAACTGTCTTGCCAGTTGGGCCTTATGATTGGGCAGATCCGATGGTATTGGAAGTTCATGTGTTAGAGATGTTAAATGAAGCCTTGGGTAAGTTCCAATAGGGGAATTACAACATAAACCCTTTGGTTTTGGAGTAAGGATGTATCTGCCTCAGCCAACAACATTTTGTTTTGTTTCTTTGAAAAGCACCTCCTGATTTGCTCCTGCTACCTGGTAGAGACGGAACACCTGATCATGGGACATCAAGTGACCATGTGAATAATAAAACCACCCATCATGAACTGGTGTTATCTGATTCACCGAACCATACAACTGGATGAGCACAGAAGCAGTCTACTCCCTATGAGACTGGGACATGGCTACAATTAAACTAAATGAGCAGGTGACTCAGACTCCTATAGTCCCTGACTCTACTCTTTCAGCACTTCCCCCCAAACCCATATAAATTGGCTTCATGAGGAGTTCTTTCTGACCAATTAATGGAAGAGAAAAAAGCATGGGTCCTGTTTGTTCATGGAAGAATCTGCAGTGAGCTGGCAATAGCTGGATGTGAGTGGTCACTACACACCACCACCACTCATTAGTGGCCCTGACCCAGAATAGTAAAGGGAAATCCTCCCATAGGGAAGAATTTTAGGAGACATGGCCTGAGGTAAGGGTATACACTGGTTTGTTGTCAGCGGCTTATGAGTTGACAAGCTAGACAAAAACTTGGAGAGAACAAATTGGAAAGCTGGTTCCATTTATGAGGCCAGCTGGGATACAATAACCTGCAAATTGGGGATGCTGACCTAAAGAATTAAGTATATGCTTAAAATCAGTAATCAGTATCTGGTGCCACCTTTCCCAAAATGTATGCAGAGTGGAGATGAGAGTAGTCCCTCTATTTTCAGTATGACTAATTTTGTAAAAAAAAAAAACAAACAACTGGTGGCATGTTTTCCAAACTTGGTGAAAAGCATAAAACTACAAATCCACAAAAGCTCAGTAAATCACAAGCAGAAAAATTGCAATGAAAGTCACACCTATGCATGTTACAGTCAAACTGATAAAACTAATTCAGAAAAACACTTAAAAGCATCCAGAGAAATTATACATTATACACAAGATGGCAGTTATATGAATTTTTTTAAAAGGATGCATAACATATAGAAAAATGCACAAATATAATTGTTCAGCATGACTTGCCACAAAGTGAAGATAACTATGTAATCACCACCCACATCAATAACTATGTCCCTTAGTCATTGCTCTTCTTCCTTCCCAAAGGTAATCATCATCCTGAATTCTAACACCAAAGATTAGGTTTGACAGTGGTTAACCTTTATATAAATTGAATACATGACAGTGGTTAACTTTTATATAAATTGAATAATGTATTCTTTAGTGTCTGGCTTCTTTTATTTAACGTTGTGAGATTCATCCATGTTGTTACCTGGAGCAGTTGTTCATTCATTTTCATTGCTATACAGTATTCTACTTTATAAATATACCACATTTATTTATCCATTTTACTGTTGATAAACATCAGAGATGTTTACTTTTTTTTTTTTTTTTTTGCGTTACGCGGGCCTCTCACTGTTGTGGCCTCTCCCGTTGTGGAGCACAGGCTCCAGACAGGCAGGCTCAGCGGCCGTGGCTCACGGGCCCAGCCGCTCCGCGGCATGTGGGATCTTCCTGGACCGGGGCACGAACCCGTGTCCCCTGCATCGGCAGGCGGACTCTCAACCACTGCGCCACCAGGGAAGCCCCGATGTTTCCATTTTTGGGCTACTAGGAGGAGAGCTGCTGTGAACATTGTTGTGTATGTCTTTGGGTGTACATACATATGCATTTGTGTTGGGTTCTTTTATTATGCCTAATAAACCACTTGAGGAATTTTTTGGTCCCTGAAACTTCAGACTTAGTGGTTTTGGAGGTTTTAGTACTCAAGGGAGGAATGCTTCCTAGGAAACATGGTTTCAGTGAATTAGAAGTGGACAGTGCTTGCTGGCAGGTTTGGGCTTTTTCTATCACTAATCAACAGAGAGAGGAGGGAGGGGATCACTACTGCCAAGGGTGAAAGATTCCTTTTAACAGGGGGAAATTGGATTGCTGCTACACAGTGGAGTAAGTAGGACTATATATGGAATGTATGATATTCACCAAGATTGCTTCTTAGTATTTTCTTGGCTTCTTAGTATTTTCTTTTTCTATTACTATTTCTAATAGTATTTCTAATACTATTTCTTAGTATTTTCTTGGCTTTCTTAGTATTTTCTTAGTATTTTCTTGGCTTCTTAGTATTTTCTTTCTTTCTTAGTATTTTCTTAGGACCTCCACTAAGATTCATCTTATACGAATGAATGTTTGGGTCGCCACACGTGGTAAAGAACTCCATTCAATTTAGGTGCAAGCTGAGTGGGAGAAACCTAGAATGGGTGGTGAAAGAAAGCAGCTATGCTTATGAACCTAGTCCTCATGACCAGCTAAAACACAGGCTTTATGAAACTATGATTATGTTTTGTTACTTGTTTCTTTTCTCCCCTACCAAGTATGAAAAATTCTGGGGTGGATAATGTTTTTGGCTTCCGATGAGAGTATGACTGAATTGACACCCCATGATCACACTGTAGCTGATGGAAGGAGACTGTGGTGGAAAAGAGTGAGATGAGCATTTATATTCCTCCTGGCTCCTGCCATTAGAGGTTGCCTTGAACTGGATGTGTACCTTGACCAAAGGTCATTGCCTCTCTCACGATGAACTCTTCACAGTTCTCTCTCCTTCGAGACTGCTTAACTACTTCTGTCTCTTGGAGATTAAGGGAGGTATAGTTCTCCTGCTGTTAGCCCTGGGTTACAGAACTATCCTTGTAATTCTCATATCCTATACACAAATTTGTAATTAGTCCCTCTCTTTAAAAAAAAGAAACAAAACAGCTTCCTTAAATGATCTTGAGTGCGTCATTTTTTTTAAATTTATTTTATTTGGTTGTGCCGGGTCTTAGTTGTGGCAGGCAGGCTCCTTAGTTGCGGCATGCATGCGGGATCTAGTCCCCTGACCAGAGATAGAACCCCGCCCTCCTGCATTGGGAGCGTGGAGTCTTAACCACTGTGCCACCAGGGAAGTCCCTTGAGTGTATCATTTGTTTCCTGTTAGGACTCTTGACACACGAGTTTTTTATCCTTGTATTGCTTCTTGCCTAAGATCTACTTCGATATTAGCATAGCGACAGTCTTTGTTCGTTTTTGCATATTTTTCCACTTTAAACTTTCTGCATTCTAATATTTAAGGGTTGTCTCTTGAAAACAGGTTAAAGGTGTATCTTTATAAATCCAAGGCAACAGTCTTGACTTTTAATTGGGGTAATCAATTTACACTTAATGTAATTACTGATACATCGGGCTTTAAAGCTGCTATCCTACTGTTTCTTGTCTCCCCTGTTCTTCACTCTTTTTTCTCTACTTTCTTTATCCTTTGGGATAGATCAGGTTTTTTTATTCCACCTTTTCCTTTTGATTGGCTTCTTAGCTATATGTTCTTTTACTATTCTTTAATTAATTACTCTAGAAATTAGAATGTGCATACTGGACATCTAAAAGTCTAGTATATACTAGTACTTTATCCACTTCCAAGACAGTGTGAACACCTTAGACCACTTTATCCTCTCCTCTCAATTTATGTGGTGTTAATGTTTTAAATCTGTATGTTTTTAACACCACAGTATATCAGCATTGTCTTGTAAAATTAATATTCATTGAGATTTACCCATGTATTTTCTTTTTCATTGTTCTTCATCCCTTTCAGAGCTTCCATCTGAGATCATTTCTCTCTGCTCAAAGGCGGCTCTTTCCTCCAAGGCAGAGATGCTGGTGACAAATTCTCATTTTCTGTTTGTTTGAAAATACCTTTATATTGTCTTAACTTTTGAAAGTTATATTATCTGAATATGAATTCTAAGTTGGCAACATTTTATTTTACTCTGAAGATAGCACCATTTGGTTGCAAAGCAGCTGTCTTATTGTCATTCATTTGATAGAATACTTTGTTTCTTACCTATGGATGCTCAACATTTCCTCTCTCTGGTTTTCAGCAGTTTTAATATGAAGTGCTTAGGTATTGTTTTCTTTGCCTTTTCCTTAAGGTTTATAGTGCTTCTTGAATCTGAGGCATGATGCTTTTTGTTTGAGACATCTCTTCCAGTATCACTTTGTTACAGTCTCTCATGCTTTTCCTTCTGGGTCTTAATTATACCTACATTTGGGACTTCCCTGGTGGCGCAGTGGTTAAGAATCCACCTGTCAGTGCAGGGGACACAGGTTTGAGCTCTGGTTCGGGAGGATCCCACATGCCGTGGAGCAGCTAAGCCTGTGCACCACAACTACTGAAGCCCATGCGCCTAGAGCCTGTGCTCTGCAACAAGAGAAGCCACCACAATGAGAAGCCCATGCACCACAACGAAGAGTAGCCCCTGCTCGCCGCAACTAGAAAAAGCCTGCATGCAGCAACGGAGACCCAACGCAGCCAAAAATTAAAAAAAAAAAAAATTAAACCTACGTTAGACTTTCTTTTTTACTCTATCTCTTCTACTTTTTAAATTTATTCCATTTTTCATCCTTTAGTCTCTTTGTTAATCTGTGTGCATATTTTCTTCTGAATTTTCTTCCAATTCTCCAATTTTGTCTTCAGCTCTGTGTAATTGGCTATTAAATGCATTCACTGGGTTTTTAATTTGTTATATCTTTCAATAATAGAATTCCATTTGGTTTTGTTTCCATTCTCTACAATCATTCTTAGTCCTATATTTTAAGTTCCTAAACATATTAATCATAGTATATGTTTTTTTTCTTTTAGCCACGCCACGTGGCTTGTGGGATCTCAGTTCCCCGACCAGGGATTGAACCCGGGCCACTGCAGTGCAAATGCCGAGCCCTAACCACTGGACTGCCAGGGAATTCCCTAATCATAGTATTTTGAAGTCTTCATTTCATAATCCCTGTGGGTCCTGTTTCTGTGGTTGCTTCTCTGTCTTGTCATATCGTCTCATACACCTGATTATGGTTTTCTGTGTGCGGGATATTACATATAAAATATTGTATAGATATTTTGACGCTCTGGATAGCATTACTTTCTTTTAGAGAGGATTTCTTTTACTTCAGTTAGGCAGCTAGGGCCATTAGTACCCTCAGATCACTACAATCCAGTTGGGACCTGAGATGATTCAGTCCCTGCCAGTTCCAATCTATTTTCAGTTCACTCTGACTCCTAGGGTACAGCACATTAGAATCTCAACAGTAAGACTGAGGTGTTTTTCTCTTTCTTGGTGAGCCCAACTCTAGTTTTTCTCCCTTTTCACCCACACCTAGGCCTGTGAACTTGCAAAAAGCTCTGTTCACCTTCTTAGCTGCTTTTGGAAGAGACAGATGCCTCCAGCAGAGATGCTACAAGCATCTCCAACCTGTCTTCATCTACTAGAACTTGGCCCTGAAATCCTCACCATTTTGGTAGCTTTCCAGTGCCTTTAAACAGATGTATTTTTTTGTTTTGGCTCAGCTTTTCTAGTTGTTCTCAGCAGAAGCATGATCAAAACCATCTAGTTCTTCGTTACCAGAAGTGGAACTGAAGAGGACCCTTCTTTTTTTAAACTGAGGTATAGCTGATGTACAATATTATATCAGTTTCAGGTGTACAACATAGTGATTCACAATTTTTAAAGGTTATATTCAATTTATAGTTATTATAAAATATTGGCTATATTCCCTGTGCTGTACAATACATCCTTGTAGCTTATTTTATACCTAGTCATTTGTACGTCTTAATCCCCTGCTCCTATCTTGCCCCTCGCCCTACTTCTCTCCCCTCTGGTAACCACTAGTTTGTTCTCTATACCTGTGAGTCTGCTTCTTTTTTGTTATATTCACTAGTTTAATTTTTTAGATTCCACATATGAGTGAAATCATACAGTATTTGTCTTTCTCTAACTTATTTCACTGAGAGTAGTACCCTCCAAGTCCAAACCATGTTGTTGCAAATGGCAAGATTTCATTCTTTTTGTGGCTGAGTAGTATTCCAGTGTATATATATGTAACACATCTCCTTTATCCATTCATCCACTGATGGACACTTAGGTTGCAAGGACTCTTTTTATTTAATGTCAAAAATTTTACCAGGTGCTCCCTACCCCCTCTCCATCAAAACACACAGGTAGTAGTTGTACATATATTTAGTCTGTAGATAAAAGAATGTTGACATTAGAATCACAGGACTTGTAATTACTGGTCCTGTCAACTTGGGCAAGTCATTTAACCTCTTATTCTGCTTCCTGTTCACATGCCAGTCACCTTGTAGGCTCTTCAACAGAATGATGAAATGTTAATAACTTCTGCTTAACTCAGAGTGGTTAT